TAAATATTATCTCAAATTAATTTTTAAAATTATTAAATATTTAAAAATTAACTAATATTTATTTTTTTAAAATTTAATTTAAAAATCTCAACTTATAAATATATTTTTAAAATCAATTTTATCATGATAGAATTAAATTATTATATTCAACTTAATAACTTAAAAATTTAAAAAACTTAAAATTGACTTATCCAAACAAAATATTTTAAGAATGATAGAAATTAAAATCAAAGTAATTCAAATATCAAAAATTTTAAATTCCTTAAATTTATAAAATTTTTCATCCAAACACACTATAAGAGAATATGCTACCACAAACTCTCAAATCCAAGCAGGTGTATATATTATAACATTTACATTTTCTTTTTTTAGGTTTTCATTCCATCAATGGCAAACAGTTAGTTGAGGGGTAGTTTGAGACTTGACATTCAATTTACTAACTGGTTTTATTTTATGGGTAAAAATATTTTTTTTAGTTTCATTTATATATTTTACCTTTAATATTTATAATTTAAAATAAATATATATTTTTTTATATTTATTTTTTCAATCATTTTTAGTCACTATAGTTTAAAATAAGTTTTTTTTATTTAATTAAGAAGAAAAAATATTTACATTTTAAATAGTAAAGAATATTTACAAGTGTTAAAAATATGGCACTAGCATTTGTCATTATTAAAATCTAAATAAGTTAAAATATATTTTGATCTTTTATTTAATTATGAAAATTCATTTTGATCCCGATAAATATCTTACTAGCATTTGTCATCATTAAAATCTAAATAGGCTAAAATTTTTAATAGGCTAAAATATATTTTGATCTTTTATTTAATTATGAAAATTCACTTTGATCCTGTATATCTTAAAATATTTCTTTTAATCTTTTAACTATCAAGCTTGAGTTAATTTTACTTTTTTTCAGCATTATAATTTTTAGCATATTTATGACTTTTTTTCATAAGTTTATTAGATTTCATAATTTTATATAGGTAAATTTAATTGTTTGTAACTTGAATCGATCAATAGAGTTGAAAATCGTACCTAAATAATAATTAGAATTTGAAAAGGACAATATAAATTAAAAAAAATTATCAATATATAAATTCAAAATTAAAGGATAAAATAAAAAAATTTAAAATACAAAAAACAAATCATAACAATAAGATTAAAAGATTGTTTTATTTGATCCAAATACATTGCCATCAAATTTTAAAAAGTCTAATTATCTGATTTTGTCTATGTTACGTAAACTTTACTTTTTAATCCTATAATAAAAAATGTTCCATAAAAATTAAAAGATAAAATTTATATAATTATATAAAGACTAAAAGATAAAATTTATACAACTATAAGATAAAAAATATAATTTATGCATCTATATGAATCAAAAACAAAAATAAAAAATTTAACAATTAAAATAAAATATTTTTTATTATAAAAATTAAAAGATAAAAATCATAAAAACGTAGCGACATAAATGATAATTAAACCACTTTAAAAATTAAACATTATAAAATTTGTATATATATATATATATATA